GAAACGTACAGCGGAATCTTGGAGCGGAAAACAAAATTGTCTTTTTCCCAATTTCCAGTTTTTGCTTCTGGTTTCCGTGTCGTGTTTGTTGGTTTCCCCCTGCGCCCGGCCGCCGTCGTCCTCCTCAATTCCTGTCCCTCCTCCTCACATCATGGGTCGCGCGAGTCGCCCTCCGAAGAGCACAACAGTGACGACAGCTACGAGAACTGAATATTCGTTCGGTTTCGAACATGAAGCTGCGGGCCCCACAGGCGCCCCGCATGCGGGCGCAGCGCCTGGGGCCTTCGATGGAGCTCCCTGTGGGACCACAAAACGTTCCTGGGTGGGGCCTTCGGTGGAGCCCTCTATGGGGCCTTCGGTGGAGCTCCCTATGGGGCTACGAAACGCTGCCCTGGGTGGGGGAACCGCATGCGAACACCCCCACTGGGGCCTTCGGTGGAGCTCCCTATGGGGCCACGAAGCGCTGCCCTGGGTGGGAGAACCGCATGCGGGCTGTGCCACTGGGACCTTCGGTGGAGCTCCCTATGGGGCTACGAACCGCTGCCTTGGGCTGGGGAACCGCATGCGGGCTGTGCCACTGGGACCTTCGGTGGAGCTCCCTATGGGGCTACGAAACGCTGCCCTGGGTGGGGGAACCGCATGCGGGCTGTGCCACGGGGACCTTCGGTGGAGCTCCCTATGGGGCTAAGAAACGCTGCCCTGGGTGGAGTAACCGCATGCGGGCTGTGCCACTGGGATCTTCGGTGGAGCTCCCTATGGGGCTACGAAACGCTGCCTGGGTGGGGGAAACCGCCATGCGGGCTGTGCCACTGGGACTTTCGGTGGTGCGCCTATGGGGCCACGAAACGTTGCTGTTTGGTGGGGGAACCGCATGCGGGCCGTGCCACTGGACCTTCCGGTGGAGCTCCCTATGGGGCTACGAAACGCTGCCTGGGGGGGGAACCGCATGCGGGCTGTGCCACTGGGGACCTTCGGTGGAGCTCCCTATGGGGCACGTGAACGCTGCCCTGGGTGGGGGAACCGCATGCGAACACCCCCACTGGGGCCTTCGGTGGAGCTCCCTATGGGGCTACGAAACGCTGCCCAGGGGGGGGGAACCGCATGCGAACACCCCCACTGGGGCCTTCGGTGGAGCTCCCTATGGTGCCACGAAACGCTGCCCTGGGTGGGGGAACCGCATGCGAACACCCCCACTGGGGCCTTCGGTGGAGGTCCCTATGGGGCTACGAAACGCTGCCCTGGGTGGGGGAACCGCATGCGAACACCCCCACTGGGGCCTTCGGTGGAGCTCCCTATGGGGCTACGAAACGCCCTGGGTGGGGGAACCGCATGCGGGCTGTGCCACTGGGACCTTCGGTGGAGCTCCCTATGGGGCCACGAAACGCTGCCCTGGGTGGGGGAACCGCATGCGGCTGTGCCACTGGGACCTTCGGTGGAGCTCCCTATGGGGCACGAAACGCTGCCCTGGGTGGGGGAACCGCATGCGGGCTGTGCCACTGGGACCTTCGGTGGAGCTCCCTATGGGGCTACGAAACGCTGCCCTGGGTGGGGGAACCGCATGCGGGCTGTGCCACTGTGACCTTCGGTGGAGCTCCCTATGGGGCCACGAAACGCTGCCCTGGGTGGGGGAACCGCATGCGGGCTGTGCCACTGGGACCTTCGGTGGAGCTCCCTATGGGGCTACGAAACGCTGCCCTGGGTGGGGGAACCGCATGCGGGCTGTGCCACTGGAACCTTCGGTGGAGCTCCCTATGGGGCTACGAAACGCTGCCCTGGGTGGGGGAACCGCATGCGGGCTGTGCCACTGGGACCTTCGGTGGAGCTCCCTATGGGGCCACGAAACGCTGCCCTGGGTGGGGAACCGCATGCGGGCTGTGCCACTGGGACCTTCGGTGGAGCTCCCTATGGGGCTACGAAACGCTGCCCTGGGTGGGGGAACCGCTGCCCTGGGTGGGGGAACCGCATGCGGGCTGTGCCACTGGGACCTTCGGTGGAGCTCCCTATGGGGGTACGAAACGCTGCCCTGGGCGGGGGAACCGCATGCGGGCTGTGCCACTGGGACCTTCGGTGGAGCTCCCTATGGGGCTACGAAACGTGTGAGGGGTGTGCCGAGAGCAGAGGCAAGGAGGGGGAGGAGGGAGGAGGGCGAGGAGGGAGAGGAGGAGGAGAGGAGGTGGGACGCGGGGCGCTGTCTCTTCAAAACGAGGACCCAACACCACAGGATGGTTGGGAAAAAGCATACAGTCGGGCCGCTGAAAGAAGGAACGCCAAATAAGGAACGAAGCCCCTTTTTGGCCCTAAAACTGCCTCCGTGCCCGAGGAGGGCGAGAGGGACAGCAATGGAGGAACCTGGGGAACATCGAGCCCCTTCCGAACCCAAACAGATCCTTATTTCAGCGTGTTGACTGTAAGCATTAACTTTTGGCGCTCCACGCGGATTTCTTGGATCAGCGCTGGGCCCCCCTCCCTGGCGCGCGGAGCGCGCCAGGGGCGGCGCCGGAGGCGCTGCTGGGGGCAAAAGTTTATGTTTATGGCGTTTTTCTTTATTTGTTGATACATATGGAAAAAGTATGTTTAAGTCGGGCTTGTCCTTGTCCCACTACATGAAGAATATTCAAAAATAGTCAAAAAA